TCCCCCCCCCCCCGCCCCCCCTCCCTCTCACCTGTTTCGCCACCTTCTCCAAAACTTGCTTGGCATCCTCCAGAGTTGCGTCCTCAGCCAGTCCTGCCGCATCAGCCATACACACACCCCGGTCCTTCGACGCAGCCAGCAGGGAAGCAGCCGCAGACCTGTGCTGTATGTTGTCAGTGTAGATGGCGCTCATGTAGTCCCAGCCCACCCTGCGGCCGATGCTCAGAATCACTTCAGCCAGCTTGTCGTTGTCGTTGCGCACACGCAGGAAGTACGGGTATTGGTAGCGGTTGTTGAGGACGGAGAGAGTGGCCGTCGGGGAGATGGTGGTGATTTCTGAGAAGGGGCACAGGCAGAGATAAAATTTGATGAGTTAAAATGATACTGGGTAAAACAACCGAGAAAAAATGAGATGAGATAAATGAGATGAGATCAAATAATAATAATAAACGACATTTATATAGCACTCATCGTCTATTAAAGTACAGAGGCTCTGAGACCAGGTTAAAGAATTGAGATCATACAAGACTTGCGATAAAACGAGACTAGTTAAAAGAATTGAGACAAAATAAGATGAAATGAAATGAGACAAATAAAATGAGACGAGAGAAAGAGAGATGAGTCAAAAGGAGATAACATAAAATGAGTCAAAGAAGTGAGATAAGATAAAAACAAGGCTAGATGATAAGAGATACGACAAACAAATAAGATAAAAATGAAACCAGACAAAATTAGATGAGTAGATAGGAAATGAGACAAAATGAGAATGAGAAAAAAATGGAATGAGACAAAATGAGAATGAGACCAAACAAAATAAGCTAACAGAGGCACACTGACACAGTAATAGTCAAATAGTTTGAGAAAAAGCAAGTCAGACAGAGAGAAAAAAAAAAAAGAGGGGAAAAAGGTTGGGCATTCCACTAGCGCCCTTCAACCACACCAACCAAAACTAGATGTGACAAAGTGAGGCCAGAAAGAAGAAGGAGAAGGAGAAGAACAAAAATAAAAACAAGAATAAGAACAAAAATAAAAAGAACAAAAACGACATGTAGAACAGGAAGATAATTCAACAACAACAACAACAACAACAACAACCACCACCACAACTACAACAACAACAGCAGCAACAACAACAACAACAACAACCACCACAACTACAACAACAGCAGCAACAACAACAACAACAATAACAACAACAACAACCACCACCACCAAAACCATCACCACCACCACAACAACAACAACAACAACAACAACAACTACCAAAATCACCACCAAAACCATCACAACCACCACCAACCACCACAACAACAACAACAACAACAACAACAACAACAACCACCACCAAAACCATCACCACCACCACCACAACAACAACAACAACAACTACCAAAATCACCACCAAAACCATCACAACCACCACCACCACAACAACAACAACAACAACAACAATTACGACCACCAAAATCACCAACAAAACCAACACCAAAACCACCACAACAACAACAACAACAACAACAACCACCACCACCAAAACCATCATCATAACCACCACCACAACAACCACAACAACAACAACAACATATACACATCAACTACTAACTCTGCTGTGCCAGCATGCTGCTGATGGGCAGTGTGTTCTTGTCTTTGTCCACTACAAAGCCGATGATGGAGGACGGGGCCACCAGCTGCCCACCTTCGTCTGTGTCGCACAACTGGTTACCACTCAGCACGTTGTACACGTCCTGGCCCAGGCGAAGACCCTGTGGGGGAAAAAGACAGTCCAGGAGTCCTTATAAGGTAGTGATTACGTGATTAGGACCGTGTTACACCCCTACTGTGCGGTGACGGAGTGGTTAGTGTGCTCGTCTCCGAAGCGGAAAGTCCAGGTTCGAACCTCGGTTCGGACACAGATTTTTTTCACCCCCCTCCTGCCCACCCAGCAGTAATTGGTGCCTGACTTCGAGTTGGGGAAGTAAATGCGGCGTGGAAAGGAACTGGCCACCCTACCACAATATGTCTCGCTAACAAGGCAATGCCAAATGTTCAGATCGGATGCGGGAACAACTTTACACCCCTATTGGGTGGATGGTCGGCGGGTGCTCTAGTGTAGTTTGCTCCTTCTTTCCTATCAGACATCCATTATCCTTTGCTCTCCTCGGCGCTCATATGACCTTATGCAGTTGGGAGCACCGTAAAACCCTCTACTATAAAAAAAAAATTTTAATTTGCTCTTTTCCTTTTTTTATGTATGTTACTCTCTTGTAACACATCTGTTCTTCTGCAATAAAATGACCTTATTGTGTCCCAAGTGCTGTAAAATTCTTACTAAAACTAAACACCCCTATTGACAGAATTTTGACCATTTAGAAGGTGGGCTGCTGACCCAATCAAAAACCCTGTACAGGAAAAGACAGTCCTTACATAGTAGTGATTAAGTGATTATGACTGTTTTACACTCCTATCGACAGAATTTTGGCCACTTAGCATATGGAGCCTGACCCATGCAAAGACCCTGAGCGGGGAAAAGAGAGTCTTTACATAGAAGTGATTGTGACACTTTAACATCCCAATCAACACAAGTTAGGACACTTAGAAAACCTTAGGGGAACAATTTTGTCGTTACATAATTGTGTTTGTAACTGTTTTACACCCCTATAGACAGAATTTTGGTCATTTAGAAGATTCTTTGGGGGGAAAGAGAGTCCTTACAATGTAGTAATTATAGTTGTTTTACACCGCTACTGACAGAATTTTGGCTATTTAGGAGGTGGCCTGCTGACCCAGTCAAAAACCCTGTACAAGAAAAGACAGTCCTACTATAGTAGTGATTGGGAGATTATGACTGTTTTAAATCCCTAATGACAGAATTAGGGTCGCTTTGAAGACCTTGTGGGAACAAGAAAGTCGTTATATAATTGTGTTTGTAACTGTTTTAGAGCCCTATCGACAGAATTTCGGCCACTTAGAAAGATATACACGTCCTGACCCAGTCAAAGACCCAGTACAGGAATGGAGAATCATTATACGTGTTATAACACAATGGAATTAGGCACTCATCAAGTTTGAGGCATATATATATAGAGTTATTGGTAGACGCTTTAAGCCTGTTTATTCCCTTTGCTTTTAGTTTTAAAAGTACCCCTCTTTCTTGAACCGAAATTAGGATATTTGCGCCTTATGTCAGAGGTAAAATACGTGAGAAAATGGCCGCCAAAGTTTGGTGACTTCCCAAAGCTGTTGTGTCCTTGAAAAGAGAAAATTTACATTTTTGGGGGGGATTTTGATGAAGGTTTTTCAGTGAGATCCATACAGTAATGTGCTTTTAAAGGGACATATTAGGCCTTGAGCCCAAAACAAACAAAAAATTCAATAAAAATTCCCTCACAGGCAGAAAAATGTCAGTTTCTTTGATTTCATTATTGTCGAGCCATTGATTTCACGACACAGAGTAGTGATCGTAACTCTTTTACACCCCTATCAACACAATTTAGGATATTCAAATTAAAAGGTGGGCAGCTAACTACCCAGTCAAAGACCCTGTGGGAACAAAACAGTCAATATATGATGTGTTCGTAATCATTTTACGCCCCTGTCAACACAATTTAGGCCATTTGGGAGGTAGGTTGCCGACCTAGTCGAAGACCTTGTGGGGCAAAAGAAAGTCGTTATACAGAAGTGATTGTAACTGTTTTATACCCCTATTGATACAATTTAGGTCATTAAGGAGGTCGGTCGCTGACCCACTCAAAGAGTGAGAGCAGTCATTTGTTTATTTGTTTGTTTGTTTTAGTTTAGTTTTAGTAGAGGTATTACGGCGCTCGCAACTGCATAATGTCATATGAGTGCCAGAATAAGATTAGAGGTGTTACAAGAGAGTAACAAACATAAAAAAGAAGAAGGGGAGAAAAGGATGACAGATGTTTAATAGGAAAGAAGGAGCAAACCACACCAGAGCACCCATCAACCGCCCACATTTGTTTGTTTGTTCGGTTGGAGAGTAACACATCTGTCATTTCATAGTAGAAAAAAGTAATGCAGAAAGACAGACACTACAGAGGGAAAGGGGAAAAAAAGTAGAACCTACCAATATCGCCCTCCAATCACCCACATTATACATCATGGAAAAACCATGGGCAAAGAGAACCCTATTTCAAAAGAACAGCATGCAAAAATATCCCTACATAACAAGAGCTGTATGTAATATGATCCTGACATTAAAGGACTATATAATAATAATAATAAAAAATAGCATTTATACTGCGCATTTCCATTTTCTAAAAGATGCTCAATGCACATTACAACAAAAAAGACATCACATCTTAAAAATGAATTGCCATGCGTGTACGTAAAACAAAGTATTATACATATAATATAAATGCATATGCGTAAAAATTTATATGAGAAAAACAGTCTCGCAGTGAGGTTGGAAATGTGTTCACTAAAAATATACAATGCAAAAAAAATTCACGAA